GTTCAATTGTTCATCGTATTTGTTAATTTGTTCACCGTATTTGTTCATCATGCTTGTTACTGTATTTGTTCGTATTTATTCATCATGTTTATTACTATATTTGTTTCCATCTTCGGTTTTGGTGTAGACACCGTATTTGGTCCGGCTCGCTTTCGTTTTTAAAAAAAATTTATTACTGATTTATTTATTATTATTTTTTTATGTTTATTATTTAGTTTAAAATAACATAATTTACTTTATTATAAAATTTAATGTAAAGTTTTAATTAAATCAAATTAAGTTTTAAAATTAGATTTTATTTGAAAATAATTGGTTTTTTTTAAATTGATTTTAAGATTTAAAAAAAAACAATTTTTTCTCCCGTTTGATTTTTTCTTTCATACGTGTATCCTCTCCCCTCTTTTTCTCTCTTCTCTTGCCCCTTTTTCTTTTTTATCGTTATTTTTAGGTGTATTTAAGGAGGCTTGCAGTGGGGAGGAGGGGACAGAACACCCATACAGAGAAGAATTCACTTCCTTTTTTCTCTCTACCATCACCTTCTCTTCTTCTTCACCCAGGCCGACGACCTCGACGATACACAGACCGCACACGTCCCCCGGTGATCACAAGTTCAGACAACCTGCAGTAGTCCGGCACAAAGCTCTATAATCCCGACGGACAACAATAATATAACGAACAACTTCTATAACCGACGCACGGATCACCGACCACCTGACTTCGACCTCGAGTGCTCCTTCACGGTTTCAGACCCGCGGGCACACCCAGAATTTCCTCACTGCAGTACGTGGTATAGAAAAAAGTTGTTTTAGAAATGATTTGGTTTTTTTTTTGTTTGTTTTAAATAAGCTTGTTTTAAATTTGATATATACATATTTTAAAATAAATTTGTTTAAATATGATTTGATTATTTTTAAAATAAGTTTGTTTTAAATATGATTTGATTATTTTTAAAATAAGAAATATGATTTGATTATTTTTAAAATAAATTTGTTTTAAATATGATTCGATTATTTTTAAAATAAATTTGTTTTAAATATGATTTTTTTTTTAATTTTAAAAAACAAGTTTGTTTTAAATGTTTTTTTTAGTTTTAAGGAAGTTTGTTAGAGGAATTTCAAATCTTTTTTATTTTATTATTATTATTTTTCGTTTTAATTTTTTTAATTTTTTTTAAAACATTTTTTTTAAAATAAAGATTTGTATAATAAGAATTAAAACTAAGTTGTATCATATGGTGTTGGCATAGTGGTAGGTTACTTAGGAGTAATTCACATGTGTTAGGGTTGAGTCTTTGCTTGCTTAAATTAATGTTTTTTTTATATCATTATTTTACCAAACAACTATTTTAGATAAAATGTTTTTTTAATATAAAAAAAAAACTTTCGTTTTTATAAGATTGCAAATCTTAAAAAATTTATATAAAATATTAAGTAATTTCTTAGGATGTTGGCACATTGGTAAGAAGTTTGTATATGGACTCTCACATCACAAGTTCAAGTCTTGATGACCCCTACACTAAAATTATTTTTTATTTATTTTTCTTTTTGGACCAAAGTATAATAGGATAATTTTTGACAAAATATGGTACCGTTTTCGAACGGGTGTCGTAGGGTGCTAACACCTTCCCTACGCTCAGTCGACTCCCGAACCAACAATCTGTTTTCGCAGACCTTGTCTTTATTTTTAGGTGACCAATCACACCTCGTAGATGATTGGTGGCGACTCCAAACCTTAATCTCGAAAGAGACCTGTCAGGGGATGACGTCGGCTGCTCCACGTCACGATGACGTTGCGACATTTGGTATTTCCATTTCTAAAATGATTTTCTTGTTTAAATTTTGGTATTTCTATTTCTAAAATTATTTTTTTGTTTTTAGATTTTAATTTAATTAATATTTTTTCTTTTTAGGTTTGTTAGTAAAATTCTCGAAAATATAGGTATGATTCTCTTGATTTTACCTCCAAAATTAGCAAGATTTTCCTATTTTTAAGTTGCCATTTTTCAAAACTAAAATATGTTTGGCCATTTTTTGAAATGATTTATTTTAAATAGCTATATATATGTTGTTATCTCTAAATATATCCCTCAAATGGGCCAATCTATATCTAATTCAATTGATGGAAGTGTCGGGCTGGATGGGTCCAATCAAATGTCGACCTTAGTCTGGATTTGGATTGCATCTATATTGGGCTTGGACCGACTTTTAGATCTCGAGTCGATGATGAGGATGATTCAAAACAGTACCAATCCACATATTATTTTAACTCAAAACACTTTATGAAATCAAATTCGTATGTATTTATTGATTCAATTATAGGCATAAAAAAGCATATAATATTGGCTCTCTCAGTCTCAGGTTTCCAAGTGGCAAATCATATGCAAAAGAGAGAGTTTGACTCTGCTGAGCCAGTTGGATCCTTCAGTTCCAACCAGCTTCCTTTCTTGCAAAATGGCCAAAGTAAATCTCTCTCTATATATATTAAGTTTTTTTTTTTTTTTTGTGTATATACTTTAAAAAATTTTATTTTGATCTCTTTATTTTCAACTTTTTCCATTTTAATCATTCTACCTTCGATCTAGTTTTTGTATTTTCAAAAAGTGACTAATTTGGTTCCCATTTACAAAATTTTAACACAAAATTTAAAAACTATAAAAAAAACTCTTTAATAAAAATTTATGGCTATATTTCAATAAATTTAATGTGTGAAGTGTCGTTTAACCATTATGATTGAAAGAAATGAGATAAAAAAAAGAATGAAGAGACCAAAGTGGTCACTTTCTAACGTACAAAGAACATAATATAATGGATGTTTCGAAAGTACAAAGACTAAAATGGAAAAGAAAATTGAAAGTATATATACCAAAATGAATGTTTTCAAAGCAGATGAACTAAAAATAAAACCAAAACCAAAAGTACTGAGACCAGAATAATATTTAAACCTAATATATTGCTCACAATATTATTTTGAGACAAAAAGGTGCATTTTTGGCCAATTGGATAAATTTCTAGAAAGAGAAAGATATAGTTTATTTTAATATACATAGGCTAAACTAAAAAGAAAATACCTTTGTATTTTGCCATTATTTAAAACATACTCCTACCTTCCAAAAATTTCAATGGTACCTTTAAACTTCGGTAAAGTTTAAAAAATATTGCAAAAGTTTCTAAAATATCTTTTCAGTACATATATATTAATATTTTGAACTAAAAGTTGACATGGAAAAATCTGGAACAACACCACAATTAATGTGGAAGCGTTGCCTGAACAATTAGTTGGCACTATAACAAATTTGATTATAAACATTGTCCATTTTGGGTCCGTTATTATTTCTACTTATAATTTTTTTTACCGTCATAAAAAAATATAATAAACTAAGTTTTCCTTTTTACTAATGGATGTGGCAGTTAAATTTTGGATTAAACCCAAATGAAAGGGCTCTTAATAACCTGTTTAGCCATTAATTAACTGTAGATCAAATCTTTAAAATGCCCATATCAACCTCACTTTTTAAATTTCTCAAAAAATAATTAATAGCTTCAATCGTATTTTTGGTGTATAATTGTTTTTAGTACACCATGTAAGGTGATGATTCAAAACTCACGATATTTGTCGATGGAAATAGATATTTTAACTAACCAATGATGTTTAAATTGATATTTAAGAAGCCGAACTTTTTTTACCAAAAAAAAGAAAGAAAGAAAGAAAAGAAAAGGAAACACAATTTGGAAACCGATGGTTATGTAACAAACAAATATTACATCATTGAATATGTCAAGTTGGGTTTTATTAGAAGAAAAATAAATTTTCAAACCCTACTCATATAGTCATATGACACTTTTTTTTTTTTGTTTTTTGTTTTCTTGATATTTCTATAAAATGAATCAACCAGCGATGTTTTTAGGCTTAAATAATATTTCCCATTTATTTTGATCGTATTTATCTATATATTTTCAATTTTTATTCATTTTAGTATCTCTACTTTTGAAACGTTCATTTTGATCCCTATATTTTTAAAAAGTGACTTTATTGATATCTTCATTTTCATTTTTATCTCATTTCTTTTGACACCTCACACTCACTAAATTTCTTGAAATATAATCATAAATTTGAATTAAAAGGATTTCATTGTGTTAAAATTTTTCAAATAGGGACCTAGAATTGGTCACTTTTCAAGTTCAGAGATCAAAACAAACCTTTTGATAATATAATACTAAAATGAACAAAAGTTGAAATTACATTGACTAAAATGAATATTTTCTTTTGAAAAATGACACATACCATTCATTCAAAAAGTAGAGAAACATACTAACAGAGGAGGGCAAATAACAATGCTCCAGTTAAGAGAGATTGGGGCAATGCGTGATTACAAAAGGTCGATTTTGTGGACCAATGATTAGGAATCAGCCGTTTATATATATTCTCACAAATTGGCCGGTCGGAGATCTGAAAGTGTCCGGTGAAAAGACGATTGTTTTGCTCTAGCAAAATAAATCAAAAGGATCCAGCAAAAGTCATTAATTGCACCATAGCATATTCCTATTGGTAGGGAGATTAATACATTTCCAAGTCATCCACTACCTCAAAGTAGAGAGAGGGACCATAATAAACATTTTAATAATATAGAGACCAAAATAAACCAAAGTTAAAAGTATGAAAATTAAAATAGTATTTAAATCAATATTGTTATTAGGGATGTAAGCTAATAAATCCTAATAGCTAGCCTTATTTTGAGTTATAATATTATAATTACATGTCAGCTGTAATACACTGGATTATGGAAGTTATATAGCGAATTATATTTTTGTTATTTATAAGTTTGAAATTCATAAATTATTCCACCATGACCAAGTTTTGATGGGCTGTTTAATTTGTCCTTTGGATTGAATCTAAAATTATATATATAAATACTCAATTTCCTTCTAAGTCTACAATTCATTCCAAAAGGGAAGCTGGCCATAAAAATTAACCTCTAACTTTTGCTCCAAATTTGTGTCTCTATGGAGATTGATGAAGCAGGTGCAGGGTGTGAGATTCAAGATGAAGATCAAGTGATGATCCAAGAAGAACACATTAGATCTTATGAGTGCACTTTTTGCAAGAGGGGTTTCACAAATGCCCAAGCTTTAGGAGGCCATATGAACATACATAGAAAAGACAAGGCCAAGATGAAGCAATCAGCTTCGTCATCGTCGTTGTCGATGTCGTCCAACAAGATGCCTGTGGATGACATCTCGAAGATTATTTCGACCCCTGCGAGGTTACCGTGGGTTATCCCGTCAACCACTACAGAAGGCCGAGGCCGAGGCGAAGACAGAGGGGAAATTGGGGAAATTACCTCTTCGACAATGGAAGAAACCCTAAAAGGTAAAGTTCAACAGCTTCAACTTTTCGAGAAATCTTCGAATATGGATCAGAAGTTTAGGGTTCATCAAGTACTCCCATTGGAAGCTAGCTCCGATCAGAAGATGGTCCCGCCGTTTCAACATGGTTCAACTGTCTCGGAGCTCGATCTTGAGCTTAGGTTGGGGCCAGAGCCACAAAACTCAACTCCATCATCAACCCCAACTGGTAGCAGTAGACACTTCTTTTGAATTTGTTGAAGTCACACTATACACATATGCAATTATTGAATTTAACACTCATTGATTTTACCAAAAATTTTCATTCTTTGCTCTTTTTTTTTCTGAATAAAACACTAAAAATTAAGGAAAATTATAGCAAAATTTTCTGTGGTTAGTATAAGACAATAATATTGGAGAGATATTCTATCAATTAAAATCTGTTCTTGTAAAAAGAAGTTTCAATGTTGTATTTTGGTCGAAATATTAATGTCAAAATCCTTTGGTATCATTCCACAAAAACTGATAAATTAAATTTACGGTTCTTTTTTCGGTTGGGTATAGATTTTGGGAAAGAGAAAAGAGAAATTAAGGGGTTTTTAGTCATTAACCAATTAATACAAATTTATAACTACATTTTTAACAAGTGTCGTGTTAAAATTATAATTGAAAGGAGTAAGATAAAAATGAATGAAGGGACCACAATGCTCAATTTTTTAACAATATAGGAACAAAAAATGGACGTTTTGAAAGTATATATGAAGCTGACCAAAATCAATCGGTTCATTTTTCTATAGGTTGATGCTTTTGTATCGCACACACTTGTAGCAAAATAATATTTAAACCATAATAAATGATTCGGAGATGATTTTGAGGTAAAGGGGGCATCTTTGGCCAATAGGATAAATTTCTATAGAGAGAGATAGTTTATAAGGTATGAATCAATTCATTGTTAATCATCCCACGTCGAAAAGAAAATAGACTTTACAATGGTTTATAATAGACATTTCTCTTTTATTGTCAATTGGTTTTGAGATTGAACCCTATGAAAGTTGATATGGTACCAGAGCCCAACAATCTCAAACGAGCATCCCTCGTAACTTTATAGATGAAAATTTGAGAGAGATAAAGATCCAGGTTTTCGAGCCCTCATGTATCCAAAAGTAAAAATATATATATATTCTTTTTGAGAGCGGCTCAAAAAAATTTTATATTCCTTTGGTCCAGTATCTTTTTTATTTTAGTTCACTTTCGTCTCTATATTTTTAAAATATTTATTTCAATTCCGATAATTTCAACTTTGGTTCATTTTAGTCTCTTACTTTTGAAATTTTCGATTTGATCCTTGCACTTTAAAAAAGTAATCATGGTCTCATTATTTTCATTCTTATATATCCCATTTATTTCAATCAACATTTTAGTAGAACATTTCACTTACTAAATTTCTTGGGATATAGCCATAAATTGTATTTGAGCGATTTCCATTATATAAAAATTTTACAATTAGATACCAAAACGATCACTTTTTAAAAAGTACATATAGGTATAAGAACCAATTGGAATATATTTTAACTATATATATCAGCTGCGTAATACACGTGGAATATGGAACGAGGTTGTATTAAATTATATTTTGTAATTTATAATTATTGCATTATTGAATCTAAAACTATATAAACACTCGGTTAATTCCCTTCAAATTTATAGCAGTTTCATTCCAAAACGCTCTCTCTTTCTAATCTATGGAGATTCAAGATCAAGATCATCAAGATCAAGTGATGATCCAAGAAGAACAAATTAGTGGAGGGAGCCAATCAGCAGCAAGGCCTTGTAAGTGCCCTCTTTGCAGCTTGAGTTTCAAAAATGTCCGAGCTTTAGGAGGCCATATGAGGATACATAAACAACATCAAAAGGGGAAGAGGAAGACGAGGTCGTCGAACAAGATTCAGGCTTTGGACATCCCGGAGATGACCTTTCCGACCCGTGTGAGGTCGCCTCGGGTTGCTTTATCAACCACCAAAGAAGGAGGCGGAGACAGAAAAGAGAAGGCCGAAATGATGCAATCGCCGTCGTCGTCGAACAAGATGGATGTGGACATCCCGAGGACTAGTACTACTCCGACCCCTGCGAGGTATGGCACGACGGAGGTGGAGGCGGCGAAGACGATACTGTCGTTTCGACATGGCCTGGGCGTCTTGGAGCTGGATGTTGATCAGCTTATGTTGTTAGGGCAAGAGCCACAAAACTCAAACCCATCACCAGCCCCAACTGGTAGCAGTACACACTTCTTTTAAATATGTTGAAACTCACACTATATATACATTTGGGGTTTTGAACAATTATTGGATTCAAATCATTGATCTTTAGATTCTTTACCAAAAAATTGTAGCATTTCTGCTGTGGTTACAGGTTAGTCTAAGACAATTGGAGAGATGATCTATCAATTATTAAATTTTGTTCTTGCAAAAAAAAGTTCCAATGGTGTATTTTGGTTGAAATATTAATGTCAAAATCTTTTGGAGTCATTCCACAAAATGAAATTAAAATTAGGGTTTTTTTAATTAGGTTTTTTAGTCATAAAAGTTTAATTAGGATTGGATTTTGGATATAGATAATGAATTGTATTTGGAAGAGGAAATTAAAGCTTGGGAAAATTTCTTAAAAATGTACTCTTGTATTTTAAAAATGGTTTCAGTCCCTTGTTGTTTTTGAAATCTAAAAACAGTACCATTCTCTAAAATGTTAGGGAAATTTTTGCTTTTTGTTTTCCTTTACACTTCAGTCTAGTTTAATTTGTCAATCTAATTAACTTTTAACTTTTAATTTTATCAAATTAAATTAAAGAAGTGCAAGTAATACTAGCTTCAACCAGTTAAAAAAAAAATTACTCTAGTGGTTTGACAGTACTACTTTTTGAAACTTAATTCTCTTATTATATATTCCGATGCTTCTTAAAACTTTATTTTTAAAAAGTTTTAATATAATCCCTAGGATTTTAACATTTTTCAAGTGTGTGTGTATATATATATATATATCATTTTGGTGAATGTTAAAATTTGTTGACAATAGGCTTATCTGTTACATGATATAAGGGTTTTAAATCTCGATATCGATGAAAATGTTGAAGTCTTAATTTCATAGAAATATTGATAAAATGTTGATGTCAATGAATATTTATATGTAGAAGTTAGAGAAATTTAAAAATCGTAAAAAGTATTTAAATTAACAAATAAACATTTTTCTATTTGTAAATAAGTTTAAAATATTTAATATTAATATTATGTGTATATTAGTGACATTTTATTGATATTTTTCATATTTTGTCGATTTTATTGTAATATAATGGAAATATCGATTTACTCTTCGTATGTATGGAAATGTAGATGTGTCGACAGATATTTAATATCATGTTTGATATAATACTTAAAGGCTATTTATTTTTAAGAATCTTAGATGTCAGGAATGTTAGATGTTAGATATTCAGCATCTTTAGACAGCCATGTGTCGCAATGTTATCGCGATGCAGAGCGGCCGACGTTATTCCCTGAATAATCTCTTTCAAGATAAGGGTTTGAAGTCGTCACCAATCATCTATGGGGTGTGATTGGTCATCTATTTTAAAAACTTGGTCTACGAAAAAACAAATTTTAGGTTCAGGAGTAGGCTGAGCGTAGGGGAGGTGTTAATTTCCGTCATTGTTGGGTTTTCGAAATAATTATTTAGTAGAAAAAAATAATAAATAAAAAAATAATTTTCGTTTATGGCACATTGAGATTTGACATAAGATTCAATATTCAAACATCTTACCAAGTGTCAACACCTTGAGATACTATTTATTTTTTTTTTAAATATAAATATTTTAATTTGAAATTTGTTTAAAAAAACAAAAAGTTTTTTATTTCAAAAAATATTTTATTTAAAATAGTTGTTTAGTAAAAACAATGATATAAAAATAACTTTAATTTGGGCAAGCAAAGACTCTAAGACATGCGAATTACTCATAAGAAACCTACCATATCATGTCATCACCACAGAGGATAGGACCTAAAACTTTTGAAATCTTTATTTTGAAATTTTGTTTTAAAAAAATAAAAATAAAAACTAAAACCGAGAAAAAAACTTTATTTTGTTTTAGAATTGAAATGAGTATAACAAACTTCCTCGAAACTTATTTAAAAAAAACATTTAAAACAAACTTTAAAAAAATCATGTTTAAAACAAACTTGTTTTTCAAAAAATAAATCAAATTTAACACAAATTCATCTAAAAAAGAATGGTATTTAAAACAAACTTATTTAAAAATAAAACAAAATTATTTTTAAAAAAATATATATCAAAATTAAAACAAACTTATTTAAAAACCTCATATTTAAAACAAATTTATTTAAAAACTCATATTTAAAACAAACTTATTTAAAAAATCAAATCATTTCTAAAAGCATTTTTTTTTACATCACGTACTACATTGAGGAAATCCTTGGTGTGCCCGCAGGTCTGAAACCGTGAAGGAGCACTTGAGGTGGGAGTCAGGTTGTTGGAGATCTGTGCGTCGTAGAAGTTGTTAGTTATATTATTGTTGTCCGTCGAGATTGTAGAGTTTTGCGCCGGACTACTGTGATGTGGGTTGTGGGTTGTCGGAACTTGTGGTCGTCGGGGAACATGTGCAGCTGGAGTATCATCGCCAGAGGTCGTTGGGCCTGCCTGCCGATGTGGTAAAGTTTGTTAAAATTTTGGTAAAATCCTAACGTGAATGTAAAGTTTTATAATGATTGTCTTCGAATATTTGAATATCTATGTTTGTTTTTGTCAAATTTGTACCTGGATTTGTCAGATTTGGGGGTAAACATACCCAAGACACGTAGAGGACCCCTATTAGTGTTTAAAGAAATTAGATAAAAAAGGATTGCTTAGGTCCACCTCGGCCCCGTCGAGGAGACCGGGTTTGCCCGTTATAAAAGACTAAGTGTGGGCACCAAAGTTCGATCTGACCGGGGACTGACCTGCTCGGAACCCGACAGGTCCGATATGAGAAAAGACATGTAACCGCCGGTCGTGTGTGCTGTCGGATTCGTCACCTATAAATAGAGGGCTTCATTTCACGCTCAGGTATCGAATCTCGCCTCGAACTAAATAAGGAGTCCGATCTATACTGACTTGAGCGTCGGAGTGCTTACCCTCTTGTGCAAGTCCACTCTAGTGTTCAGGTCGGAACCGAAGACCGGGTTCGAGCTCGATTCGTGAAGAACCGTTG